TGCGCCACCATGCCCGGCTAATTTTTTCTGTATGTATTAGTTGGCCAATTAATTTTCTTTCTATTTATAGTAGAGACGGGGTCTCGCTCTTGTTCAGGCTGGTTTTGAACTCCTGACCTCGAGCAATACACCCGCCTCGGCCTCCCAGAGTGCTAGGATTACAGGCGTGAGCCACCGCGCCCGGCCCTTAATTTTTGTTATTATCTTTTTTCTTCCTTTTTGGTTTTTTAGAATTTATTTAGTTCTTTTCCCAGCTTCTTGGGTCATTTATATTCATTTCTTCTGTTTTCTTATCAATATTTTTTCTCATAACTGCTTTAGCTGCATACATAATCTGAGACTCTACATCTTTAATTCTGGGAAGTTCTCAGTCATTACTTATTCAAAACATTTTTCACGTATAGTTTACCCTTTCTTCTTCCACGGCTTTTATTAAATATTGTTAACTTTCTTCCTTCATAGCTCTTACTTTAATAGTTTTATCTTAGGTTAGGGTCTGGAAGATCAAGAATTCTAAGGCATCTGCAAGACAGGAGTCTTGAACAGGGAGTTCCTAGGTTCTTCCTTCTCTTCTGTCAGATCAACCATGTAAATGCCCAGGGTAAGCCTATGCTACCATGAAAGGCAGTAATTTTGTTCCTCAGCAAGCCAGCAGCATCCCCGCCACCTCCAGGTTCACCCGAATTGGGAGAAAAGCCGGTACATACTGTCATTAACTCTGAGACCAGCTGTGGTCTCTAAGCTGTTATAGCTAATCCTCCAGCAGAATAAATGACTTCAGTTTTTGTATTCTCTCCAAATGTTTCTATTTCATACCTTTTTTTTTTCTTCTAAGCCTAGCTGCCTGTAATTTCTCATGTTTGTTCTCAGCTCTGTGCTAGGAGGGAAGGGGGGTGAATAAGGAAGATGTTATGGTCCCCAAGTAAGCACTTAATCTCACTCTTTACACTTTTAGTGCTTCCATTGAGAACTCTGCAAGCTTGAGAATGTGTGTGCATGTGACCTGCAGTATATCTTGTAGAGTTGAAATGAGCCTATTCTGAATTCAGGGTATTGATGGCTAATAGCACAGTTGCCAACAGTCAGTTTATTTTAGAGTGACCCAAACTAGCAGGGAGAAGAGAACAAAAAGACCAAATTTCACGTGGAAGGCTTCCCAGTAGAGTGCTTGGTTGGCCTCTCAGGTCAAAACCGAGTTAGAGCAAAGTGCTATAACATCTGTCTTCTATAAGGATAACTAATGAATAGTCTTCTAGTGTAAGAATTTCTTGCCTAAATACTAATGCTCTAGCATGAAGACCACCTCAGGATTTAAAAACAGGATGTGATATCATCAGTCTTTGAAATAACTGAGGAGTCTAATTCAATAACCAAAAAAATTATCAGTTCTGCCTATAAAATCAATCCTGCTTTCTTCCTTTCTACAGGTGTTATTTATTGCCTAGTATTTTAGCCTGCCATTCTTTCTTCATTAAAAGTTCTATTTGTTTCATTTTTTTCCTATTGTAGTACACAAAAGACTATCTCTTTTGACCTTATAAAATGTATATAGCTAGATGCTCTTAATTTGAATGTACACTTTCAAATTTGCTTCTAGGTATTAGAGAAAGGTGAATGTACTTTGCAGAACGGTGTAACCTCATATGAAGGACTGGAAAAGAGATCATATGAAGGAATCTCTGAGATCTACGAAACAGAATCAGTGATTAGGACTCCACAGTGAAAATGGTTGACTGGATGACAGCCTCATCAAAAGAGACTCTTTTGGGGGCCTGAAAAGCCATTAAAATAAAGTCATTTCAATTGATTTTATTTGTTCATTCAATGTGTGTTAAGAGTCTTTCAAGGAATCAGACTTTGTGTTTGTCTCTGATGGCACAAACTTACTGAAACACTCCCCATGCTGACGTTGTGGTTGGGGACAGACAAATGAGAGACAACATTGCAGACAGGACAGATGAGGGACAGATGCCCAACTCAAGCATGGAATGGACAAAAGTAAATGGATCTGTCTAGATTTAATCCTAGAAACCACAGTGAAAAGAATTAAAATGGTTTACATCAATTAGTGATTTCTATGTGCCAGGACTGTGTTAGGAGCTGACTATAAGTTGGTGAAAAAAATAGACATGGACTCTGCGTTTTAGGGTATGGTAGAGAAGACAGATACTATACAAGGTACAAAGGGAGAGTCAGCTTCTACAAAGAAAGACCACCGGCCAACAAGAGTCAGTACTAGAGGGTGTCTTTTATTATGTGTTAGGAAAGGCATTCCTAAATAAGTCACATCTGGGCCCGAAGGAAAAAATGGAGCCATTTGAAAAACTGACTCAGGGAGATTAATAATTTGCTCTGGGACCCAGAATTCAAGTCAAGTGGATCTGACTCCAAAAAATCATAATTTCTCTTTGATTATACAGCATTTTCCCAGAAAATGTTTTTTTAAACATTTTTTTGTAGAGATGGGGTCTTGCTGTGTTGCTCAGGCTGGTCTCAAACTCCTGGCCTCAAGTGATCCTCTCATTTCGGCCTTTTAAAGTGCTGGGATTACAAGCATGAGCCATAGCACCTGGCCCTCTATCTTAAATCTGGCACATAATAAGGCACCTAATGAATTATTATTAAATCAATGCAACTGAAATATTTAGCTTTTTATAGGTGAGAAAGTAGAACATTAAAGGCAATATAACAATCAGTGGCTCATGCCTGTAATCCTAGCACTCTGGGAGGCCGAGGCAGGCAGGCAGATTGCTCGAGGTCAGGAGTTTGAAACCAGCCTGAGCAAGATCAAGACACCGTCTCTGCTATAAGTAGAAAGAAATTAATTGGCCAACTAAAATACATATAGGAAAAATCAGCCGGGCATCGTGGCGCATGCCTGTAGTCCCAGCTACTCGGGAGGCTGAGGCAGGAGGATCACTTGAGCCCAGGAGATTGAGGATGCCGTGAGCTAGGCTGATGCCACGGCACTCACTCTAGCCTGGGCAACAAAGTGAGACTCTGTCTCAAAAAAAATAAATAAAAAATAAAGGCAATATAACAATCATGTTCTAGAAGGAGAAAGAGGGCTACTCTTCAATTGAAAAGTATACTACACAATTTGAGTTATGAAGAAAAATGAATGAGGATATTAGTAAAAATGAGAGATAAATATTTACATCATTAGGATTATGTTGGAGAGAATATATTATATTAAAAAACACTAAAAATAAGGATTATAAGAAGATCAAAATAAAATTTAAAGGTGAGAAAGTTTTTCATAATCAAGTTGGGAGTGTGTGTGCACAGATGCACACAAAATTATGATAGATCAACGTAATTTAAAATTCTTAAACTATAAAAAGGGTATATTATCCCTGTCTCCTTCCTTCAGGATATGAGGGTTCAAGTGTTTTGGTGTATCCTTTCAAAATATAGGCACATTTAGGCAAATTTATCATTTTCAATTTTTCATTCTTATAAAAATGCTACAATTTTCAGTATATATGATTTTGCTCTACCATGACTCCTTTTATGATAAATTCCTAGAAGTGGAATTGCTGAGTAAAAGTGTGGATATTAGTCATTGAAAATCTTTTGCTAGGCCGGGCGTGGTGGCTCACGCCTGTAATCCTAGCACTTTGGGAGGCCGAGGCGGGCGGATTGCTCAAGGTCAGGAGTTCGAAACCAGCCTGAGCGAGACCCCGTCTCTACCAAAATAGAAATAGAATAATTGACAACTAAAAATATATATACAAAAATTAGGGCCATGGCGCATGCCTGTAGTCCAGCTACTCAGGAGGCTGGAGCGAAGGATGCATGAGCCCCAGGAGATTGAGGGTTGCTGTGAGCTAGGCTCTCTGTCCCAAAAATAAATAATAAATAAATAAATAAACAATCAATATAATAAAATTAGCCGGCATGGTGGCGCATGCCTGTATCCCAGCTACTTGGGAGCTGAGGCAGTAGGATCGCTTGAGCCCAGGATTTGAGGTTGCTGTGAGCCAGGCTGACGCCACGGCACTCACTCTAGCCTGGCAACAAAGGAGACTCTGTCTCACAAAAAAAAAAAAAAAAAGAAAATCTTTTGCTAAATTGCACTCCATAGAGATCAGTCCAATGTATACTCCTCAATCCACAATGTGTGATATGAGAAGTCCTGTTGCTTCACACTTTCACCAACTGAGCATAAATCCAATGTTATATACATTACAATCTAATTATAAAAATAGCAATCTGTATAGAGTGTTTTCCTTAAACTCTTTTTATTCAGCTTTGTATTTATAGGATATTTGTCCCTCTGTTGTGATTTGTCTGATATTTTCCTCATGACTAGACTTGTTTTGTGAGTTTGGGCGAGGAAGACCACAGAGATAATAGTGGCATTCTCACATCATGCCAAAGGCACATACTACCAACCAATACTATAATCATTGGTGATGTTGACCTTGATCTCGACTGAGCTGGATATTTTGGCAGATATCTCAACCATAAAGTTAGTTGTTCCCCTTCCATTTCCATACTTTACTCTTGTTTTTTGTTTTGTTTTGTTTTTGACAGAGTCTCACTCTGTTGCCTGTGCTAGAAGTACCCTGCTGTCAGCCTACTCACAGCAACCTCAAACTCCTGGGCTTAAGCAATCCTTCTGCCTCAGCCTCCAGAGTAGCTGGGACTACAGGCATGTGCCACCATGCCTGGCTAATTTTATTTGTTTATTTGTTTGTTTATTATTATTTATTTATTTATTTTTGAGACAGAGGAGCCTAGCTCACAGGCAACCTCAAACTCCTGGGTTTAAGCAATCCTGCCTGCTCAGCTCCCAAGTAGCCGGGACTGTACAGGGCATGCACCAGATGCTGGCTAATTTTTTGTATATATTAGTTGGTCAATTATTTTCTTTTCATTTATCGGTAGAGGACGGGGGTCTTGCTCTTGCTCAGGCTGGTTTTGAACTCTGACTCGAGCAATCTGCCCGCCCGGCCTCCCAGAGTGCTAGGATTACAGGCGTGGAGCCACCGGAGCCCAGCCTTCCCAGATTTTTCAAGTCTTCACCTTTGATTTTAGGCATATTCTGTAAATTTATTTATGTAAATATTCACTTTTAGTTGTTCTCTTTTCTGTACTTTTAGATATGTATATGTATGTATGTAAATACATATACACATATGCATAGCTACTTAATGTTTTCTTCTATTTAATAAAGTTTTTATGTTTTTAAATAAAATGTATTTGAACATGAATAATGGTAATAGATTCATAATGAGAGAGTATTTTACATTTTTTCATGGAAAAATTATTGCGACTAACTTTAATGACAAATAAAAAATACTATATCAATTGGTAAACATATTGATTAAGATACTAAAAATGAAGTAGAATAACTGAAATAGCTAGCAAAATAAATGATGTAATTTAAAATTTTTTTTTTCTGCTACCAAGGCGTACATAGATTTTTGAAAGAAATTATGAGAGTTTGTAAACATTCAAGTTTATCCATACAGATGTTACCAGTCAGAACAACTTGTATCTATGCCTCTGGAAAGAAAATTTTAAAAAGAATAAAGGTGGGTCAGGGGGCTAAGGCTTATAATCCCAGGACTTTGGAGGCTTGGTGGAAGATTGCTTGGGGCCACAAGTTCTAGATCCAGCCTGGGCAACCACAGCACGACCTGTCTCTACACATAAAAAAAAAATACAAAAAAAAAGGAAAAAAATAGCCTGGTGGTGGTGGCAGGGGCCTGTATCCCAGCTACTTGAGAGGCTGAATCGAAGGATCACCTAGCCCAGGAGTTAAAGTGAACTATGATGGCACCGCTGCACTCCAACCTGGGCACAGAGCAAGATACGTGTTTCTTCAAACAAACAAACAATTTATAACAACATGTATCGATTTACCTTCCTTTTCCGACATTAATTTTGTCACTTCTTTCAATTTCTTCATCAGTGTTTATACAGTTTTCCTTGTAGAGTCTTTTACTTCTTTGATTAATATTATTCCTAAGTATTTTGAGTTTATCATTTTTTTTTTTTTTTTTTTTTTGAGACAGAGTCCTCTGTTGCCCAGGTAGAGCTGCTGTGGCATCAGCCTTGCTCACAGACAACCTCAGACTCCTGGGCTCAAGCAATCCTTCGTGCCTCGGCCTTCAGAGTAGTGGGAGTACAGGTGTGTAGCTCCACGCTCGGCTAACTTTTTCTGTTTTTTAGTTGCCTAGCTAATTTCTTTCTAATTTTTAGAAGAGAGAGATTTCTTCTCAGGCTAGTCTCAAAACTCCTGACTCAAGCAATTCTCCTGCCTTGGCCTCCCAGAGTGCTAGGATTACAGGTGCGAGCCACGAAGCCAGCCTAATTTTATCACTTCTTAGGCAGGTTACCATAATCACCTTCTTCACTTGCCCCCAAGGTTGAATGGATGTAGTTTTTGACATAACTCTGTGTATTAGGGTTCTCCAGAGAAATAGAACCAATAGGAGATAGATAGAAAGATGACAGATAGATAATAGATTTTATCCCTGCAAAAGATTGCCCTAAAAACACCAGAGGAATTCATTATGGGAATTGGTCACATGATTATGGTAGCCAAGAGGTCGATGATATGCCCTCTGTAGGCTGAAGAACCAGGATAATGCAGTGTACTCAATCTAAGTTCTGAGGCAGAGAATCAAGAGAACAGGTGGTGTAACTCCCACTGTAGAAAAGGTGAGGGTAGGGGAGAGAGCAAGAGAACTGAATGTCCCACTCAAGAATAGAAGAGAGAATTGCCCTTCCTCTACCTTGGCGTTTCTGTTTGGGCCTTATCAGATTGGGTGCTG